TTAGAGTGGAAAGGAGGGAGAGAGAGAGAGAAACATCAGTGTGAGAGAGACACATGGATTGTTTTTTTTTACCTGCACGACCCCTACTGGGGCCAGGGATCCAACCTGTAACTCAGATACATGCCCTTGACTGGGAATCGAGCCCAAGACCCTTCAGTCTGAGGGCTGATGCTCTAACCATTGAGTTAAACAAGCTAGGGCTGCTTTCAGCTCTTTTGAGTATATAGCCAGAAGTGGAATTGCTGGATCATATAATTCCATTTTTAATTTTTTGAGGAAATGTCATACTATTGTCCACAGTGGTGATACCATTTTCATTCCCACCAGCAATGCATAAGAGTTCCAGTTTCTTTTTTTTTTTAATCTTCACCCGAGGACATTTTTCCATTTTTTTGTTCAGATAGAGTGGGAGGGAGAGAGAGGAAGAGAGAGAGAGAAACATCGATGTGAAAGGGACACATCGTGTGGCTGCCACCCACATGACCAACCAGGGCTAGGTCTACAACCGAGGTACGTGCCCTTAGCGGAAACCGAACCCTGGTTTCTCTGGACCGCAGGCCGATGCTCTAACTGCTGAGCCAAACCGGCCAGGGCGAGTTCCAGTTTCTTTGTGTCCTCATCAACACTTTTTTTTTTTTTTAAATAATACTCATCCTGATGGGTGTAAAGTAGCATCTCATTGTGGTTTTGATTTGCGTTTCCTTCATGAGTAGGGATGTTGAGCATCTTTTCATGTGCTTTTTGTCCACTGTATATCTTCTTTGGAGAAATGTTTATTTAAGTCCTTTTCCCATTTTTTTTATTATTAAGTTGTCGGAGTTTTTTACATATTTTGGATATAAATCTGTTGTCAGATAAATGATTTGAAAGTATTTTCTTCCATGGGTTGTATTTCACTCTATCAATAGTATCCTTTGATGTACATTCTTAATTTTGATGAAGTCCAATTTATCTATTTTTTTTTTCTTTAGATTTTGCTTCAGTGAATAGTAATCACTGTTATTCGTTCTTTGCTTTAGCAGGAAAAGGAATGTAGGAAGGAAGAGATGGAAGGAGACAAACGGTATTCTAAACAGATCTGGGTTTATTCAGTAGAGAAATGGCAAAGTTAACAATAATTTATTTAATAATAAATATTAACTTACTATCTCTTAGATTCCAGACTGCACTTAGCCCCGGGATATAAAATGAGTATGGAGAGTTCTTACTTATTTAGAGGACAACCAGAAAAAGGTATTTCCAACACAATGAAATAGCATATACAGTATATGAATGCCGTGGCCTGTGGTGGTAGCATTGAGGTGGAAGCCACTAAATGCCTAGCAGAGTCAGAGCAATCTTTACGGTGGAATAACTTTGAAGGAGAGTAGGAAACCTGTGGCCAGAGAAGGTGGGGAAGGGCAACCAGTAGAGGGAACAGCATGTACAAATAAGTATTGACATGCATGGCCCAATTTGTAAAAGGCAAATGATTTCCTATGGCTGGGATATGGAGAAGATAGTGAGGAGATACGGGAAATGTGGGGCCTGACTGTGGAGTCTTCAATGGTAGGACAAAGAATTTGAAATGTGATATTACAGGCAATGGGGAGTTAATAAACTTTTTTTTTTTTTTATCCTCACCCGAGGATATTTTTCCATTTTTTGTACAGATAGAGTGGGAAGGAGAGAGAGGGAGAGAGAGAGAGAAACATCAATGTGAAGGGACACATCGAGTGGCTGCCACCCACACGACCAACCAGGGCCGGGGACAAACTACAACCGAAGTACGAAGTATGTGCCCTTAGCAGGAACTGAACCCGGGCCTCTATGGACCGCAGGCCGACGCTTTAACCGCTGAGCCAAACTGGCCAGGGCAAACTTTTTTTTTTTTTCTTCAAAAGTAACAATAATCCACATTCATTATAAACACTGGGGGAAATACAAAGAATAAAATAAAAACCACTGGGAACCTCAAATCTTTTTATGTAGGGAGAAGCTAACAACATACCTATATCAGTATGCTTTGGAAAAAAAAGTCTGGTGACACGGGGAGAGAATGGAAGACAGGAGATAGGTTCAGAGGTTACTGCATTAATGAAGGTCTGAACAAAGTAGCAGTGGATGGAGAAGTGGGAAGAGATCTGAGACATTCCTGAGGGGACTTCAGCAGAGCCTAGTGACTGAATGTGAGAGGACAGAAAGAGGGGAAAATGTGGGCGACCCTAAGATTTCTAGTTTAGTTAGCTCTGACTTAGCAAACAGTTCTGAGATAATGGGGCAGCTAAATTTTAAGGGGATGGTGTTTATACAAAGTTCTGATATTTATACAAAGGTCTGGAACAAGGAATCCAAAGTGAGAAGTTTTCTTTAGGAGTCTAGAGCTGGGGTCTTCCCTGCTCATGGGTTACACTGAATTCTAAAAACGGCCCAGGTACTTTGGCTCCTAATGATTAATTAGGCAATTCTAGGCAATGAATATAAAAACTCTTTATTCCATTGTTAGTGAGAAATGAATCACTAAACTGTTTATTGAAAACATGTATTTGCTAAATAAAGTTGATTATATTGGGGCTTATTCTGTGAGTCTTTGATTCTGTTTATTGGTATGTATATGACATTTTTCAAAACCAAAATGTAAAAAAATTTTAGGTAACTTTATCAAGTAGAGTGTAAAATGATCTCATTATCTTTTCATTTATCAAGCATTTATTGAATGTCTATTATGTGTCAGGTACTCTGCTAGCCCACATGGAGAATACAAAGATATCTAAGGTGCATAAAAGTGCTATCAGAATGGTAAAAAATGTGCACAATGAATTAAAACTGGGAAGGACTCCTAGCTAATATGACCTGTACCACTTATTGGGGAGGACATAGGATAGAAAGCATGAATTTCTAATGGGCCCATCGGGAAGCTCTGAAACTATAGTGAAGTGAGGTACTAAGATAACCCATTTTTTGAGGGTCCCCTGCCTGTGCCCAGTTTCTTAGTGAAGGTTGTTTGTTAAGCATGCTCAACAGTCAGGAAAGGGAGGCTAAGAGTAAGTTTCACTCTGCTGCCCTGGCTTTAAAAGTTTGGTTTGGATCGGAGCATTGAGTATCTTCTTGATTCCAAGAAATAGTTCAATATTAAAAAATGGAAAAAGGTTTTAAAAAGCATAATTGTGATGCCAAACTTACCATGGAAAGATTGATTTCACTTTCTAGGACAACCCTGTGACCTAGGCATTACCATTCTCTTTAACCTGCAGGTTCTTAATTTAGAAGAGTCAGAAAACACATAAACATGTCAGCCAGCCTGTGTTGGGGTGACCTGTTTACCTCTCTGGGCTTGTTTCCTCATCAGCAATAACTGTCTTGCCAATTTCATAGTCATTGAGGGAACAAACAAGGTAACAGATGCAAAGGCTCTTAGAAAAGTATAAAAGCACTACATATAAGTGAACCATCACTATTATTCTAAAAGTCTTATTCATAATCTTGGATCTAATACATGGCTCAGTAAGCATAACATGGCCAGACATCACTGTTCCTCGTAGGTTTTCCATAGCCTCTGCTTCGGGATAAATAAAAAATGTCCTCATATCCAGCCTTCACTTTGTTGACTTCAACACCCTTTTTAGCTACATGTTCTGTTTGCTTTTCTGTGTGTATATAGGACAGCATTCTCCAAAACAGAGGAGAGAAGAGTATTTCCCTTAGAGACAGTGACTTGCAGGTGCCGTTCCATCTAATTGTCTAAGGTAGAATAGAAACTGGAGTACATAGCTGCCTTCAGGAGCGTAGGGTCCATCCACGGATAGTGACATCTTTCCTGTCAGGAGAGTAGGAGTTACCCGCCCACTTGCAAGACTGCACCAGCTGCAGACAAGCAGGAGCTAGCAGAGCAGGCCCCAGCTGGGCTCTGGAGGTGGAGCAGCCAGATGGAGGCTTCCAGGACCCCTGGAGCTTGGAAGGCAGCCCTTCCTTCTTCTTTTTTTTTTTTTTATCCTCACCTGAGGACATTTTTCTATTTTTTGTTCAGGTAGAGTGGGAGGGGGAGAGAGGAAGAGAGAGAGAAACATCGATGTGAAAGGGACACATTGAGTGGCTGCCACCCGCACGACCAATCAGGGCCAGGGACAAACTGCAACCGAGGTACATGCCCTTAGCGGGAACCGAACCCGGGTCTCTCGGGACCGCAGGCCGACGCTGTAACCGCTGAGCCAAACCGGCCAGGGCAGCCCTTCCTTCTTCCATTCCCCTTTCTTAGAGCCCAGAAAATATAAAAGATCCTTTCCTACAAGATAGTATAGTACAGCCATTTCCAACCTTTCATATCTCATGGCAGACATAAACTAATTACTAAAAATCTGCAGCACACCAAAAAGAAAAAAAGTGTATTTTTTGCTGACCTGACAAACAATAGGTATAATTTTGATTGATATACCAAAACAATATATTTAATAGTAATTACCTACTGTTTTTGCTCCAAAGTGACTTTTAAAAAAAATCAAGCGCCTATACTTGTCTACAAGGATTTCTGGTGCCAAGAATTAACCAATCAGACACAATCTTATTATCCGACATGACCAATAAGATGCAACTCTATTATATTGTCTGTATATTTGCGGTTCAAGACAGGGCACTCACACTAGAGCGCTATTGTTGTTTTGGCTGTTACCATGTTTTAATTTGGCACACGGGTTGAAAATCGCTGCTAAAGCAGATGAACTCCACGTGGGGACTTAAGAGTCTCAGCGCTCCGGCTCTCTGCTCCCTCTTAAGGAGCCACTGCGCCCTCCAGCGGAGGAACCCCAGAAGGTGCGCCAAAGCGCACCTTGGAGTCCTCCAAAGGAACTCCTTATTGCCGGCCGTCCTCTCCACGGAGTCCCGCCTCCGACGTGATCCCGTCCTGTGGCGCCGATTGGCTGGCTCCTGGGCGTGGAGACGCGGGGCGGGGCAGAGGAGCGTTGTCTGGAGCGGCTGAGCGGCGTGTCCCCGGTCGCCGCCCCCGCTACCGCGCGGTGTCCGCCCCTCGCCTGTGTTTAGGAGATACGGGCGGCAACTAGGCTTCGGGTGGTCGTACAGCCGCCAGCCGTTTCCGCGGAGCCGTCCTTCCCAGCTGGCGGCGGCTCTTGCCCGGTCCAGGTCGGCGAGGAAAATGGCGCCGGCGCCCCGAGGCGTCCGGGAGGAGCCGCTGCTGCAGTGTCGGTGCGGACCCCTTTCCCGGCTCCTCTTCCTCGCGCAGGCCTTCCTCCTCCTGCTGCCGGCCGCCCGGGCAGGCCTGTGCCCCGCGCCCTGCGCCTGCCGCATCCCTCTGCTGGACTGCAGTCGCAGGAAACTACCGGCGCCGAGCTGGAGGGCGCTGTCGAGCCCGCTGCCCCCCGACGCCTTCAGCCTGTGAGTCGAGTTGCCGGACGGGGGTGGGGGGTCTAAGGAAAGGGGCGCTCCCCTTCCATGGCGGACGAGAGGCCTGGTCGCAGGGCGCGGTCGGGAGCCTAAGTTATGAAGAAAAATGCCATTGCGATGTTACGAACTTTTTTTGGGGGGGAGGGAGGGGTTCGAAAAACCTGATGTTAAGGTTCTGGAGACTTGTATGAAGACCGGAGTTAAGATTCTTGGGGCCTGGGACGCCCTGAGCCTTGGGTGGGAGGAGCTGGGGCGGGGATATTGTTAAGGGCTCAGTAGGCCTGGGCACCCGCATTGACTCTGGGTGGTTGGGGCTCCTCGCCCACTTTGGGCCGCATCATCGGTGTGTCCCCCAGCTTCAGTGGTCCCAGGCCTGTGATTCTGCAACCACGACCGCCGAAGACACATGAACTGCCTTTGTCCCTGGTTCGCATTTTGGCTCATTCTGTGCTGCAGTTTTGGTACGTTACGGGGTTAAAACTAAATGTGTTAGGAGAGCCAGTGCTACCCCGAACAAATATCTTTATAAGTAACATTCTTGGTCTAATTTAGGAAAGGAGTAGTCTCTCCAAAATCATGTGATGCTTTAATTGTTTTCAGTGCATTTCTTGTGGCAAAGAACCATAAAACCAGCCCTCTTTGTTTATGTGTGAGAAACTGGTCTAGTGATTGGTTGAATTCTTCTGGAGACCCCACTGCTGCGTGCTCATTTTGACAGGCCTGTGTCAGTGGCACCTGGGGAGCTCTTTGGTCTGAGTCAGCCTGGTGGCAATAGCAGCAACAGTAGGTATTAAATGCTGCAGTCATGGGGCTTCTTAACCACTAACATACAGTTATTTCTCTGCCGCTAACTGAGCAGTTCATTTATTAATTAACAGATTTCTAGAGTACAGTAGTCTCCAAAAAAGGCTTGTCACAAAAAAGAATAGCTTGAAGTGGAATTAAAATATGAGGCTCCGTTTGAATTTTCAGTGGGAAATAGGATACAAATGGAAGATTCCTCTCATGCAGAGGTTATGTATACATTTTCAAATAGGTTAGAATAGGTAAGAAAGTTACCTCATAAATTACTTCAGAAAATTTAAGTAACTTAAGTAAATGCTGTAATAATGTAGACCTGTAATATAATACAGTGCTTTCTCTTGTTTTAAGATGTGATACCTGTAGCTAGTTCTGTTTCTGTTGATGCAAATAAATTTAAAAATCCATATCAATGTGCAACATAGTCTGAATTAAATCTAGCACAGCATCTTTGTAATGCAGCAAAGTGCCTTTTTCTAAGAAATTATTGGAACAGCTACCTGATTATGACAGAATAAATCTGGTGCAGGTTTCAAAACAACACTTTATTTAGCTGTAATTGAAATAAATTTGGCCTACTTTTAAGATCTTCCATTAGGTAAACAATAATTAGAAATGCTTTTATATAAGACACATGTATTTTGTGTGTAGGTTTGATTTTTGTTTAATTGAGATAAATTTCTTAAAGCCAGATGACATTCAAAAATTTTAAATGTTCTAGAATGAAATTGACATCTTCAGTTGAAGTGAAATGCCTTGGAGAGCAATTCTGTGGTAGAAATGTAATTGGATAGAAGTCTTATATTAGCAGAACAACTCTCTGAATATTAAAAGATGGGGTTGTGCTCTTTTAAACTGAGAAATGTAACAGTGTTTGTAAGTTGCCTTCAGCTATAAAACCACCACATGGGTTTCTTTATGTAATTTTGAATTTTTAAAACACACTCTATCCTTAAATATATTAGTGATTCAAACCCAAATGCTCAAACTTGTGGCCGTCTTCAAAGAGATTGTAGACAAAATTCATTAAACCTGATTTTTTAAATATATCAGCCCCTGGTTCCTGGCACAGAGCTCCTGAAACCCTTGTAATTTTCTAAGTGATAAGAGCACTAGGAGCATCTTTCTTTTTAATATTTGGTGTTTGACCTTGTTTCCTGACACAGGGCTCCTAAATCCTTTGGAATTTCCTGCGTGATAGGAGTGTCTTTTGATCTAATGAGACAATTCTTGGTAGGTTCTGGATAGCTTCAGGATGGGGGCTGGTTACCACAAAGACCAGTCTGTCATTAGAAGCTTGTGACTTTCAGCCCTACATCCCTTCATCCTGGAAGGGGAAGGGGGCTAGAGATTGAGTTAATAATTGATTATGCCTATCTGGTGAAGTTACCATAAAAATTCCCAAATCTCTGGGGTTTAGAGAGCTTCTGGGTTGGTGAACACATTTGCATGCTAGGAGGGTGGTGTACCCGAACTCCAAGGGCACAGAATTTCCTTTACTGAACTCTTTTAGATCTCATCATATGTATGTCTTCATCTGGCTGTGTTTGTCTGTGTCCTTTATCGTATCTTTTATTATACAATAAACCAGTAAACATAAGTGTTTCCCTGAGTTCTGTGAGCTGTTCTAGCAGGTGATTGAATCTAATGAGGGGGTCATGGGAACCTCGATTTGTAGCCAAGTTGGACAGAAGTTGTGGGAAACAAGGGATTCTGCTACTTGTGATTGTTGTCTGAAGTGGGGTGCAGTCTTGTGGGATTGAGACCTTACCCAGTGAGGTCTGCACTAATTCCAGTTAGCGTCAGAATTGAATTGAATTGCAGGATACATGGCTGGTGTTGGAGAAATGATTGGTGTGGGGAAGAAAAAAAAACATCCGGTATCAGAAGTATTATATGTGTGAGTAAAGGAAGAAACAGGTGACAAAAATTTTTTGCTTGATCAAAATTTAGGCTCCTGAACCTTCTCCTAGGCCATCTGTACACATCCATGTAAGGTACAGTTCTAGCAAGGAGCCTCTACTCTCTATGTTAGATTGGGTTCCTTCCTATACCATGTCCCAGATGATGTCTGATCACTCTGACCTGTTTTTAGCAAGAATCCTGTTGGGTCTGTTTAGTCAGAACCCTCTCACCCCTGATGTTTTCTCTTAGTATTTTTTATCTGCTGACCCTGCCCTGCTTTAAATTCTCATACACGCAGGCAGTATTTGGAGTTGAGCCCAGTCTCTTACCTACATAAAAAAATTTCATTGCAGTGGTCCCTATGCCTAGCTCCTCATTCCCCAAACTCTTCCTTATCATCCTTTTTTTTTTTTTTTAATCCTCACCCGAGGACATTTTTCCATTTTTTGTACAGATAGAGTGGGAGGGGGAAAGAGAGAGAGAAAAAATTTCATTGCAGTGGTCCCTATGCCTAGCTCCTCATTCCCCAAACTCTTCCTTATCATCCTTTTTTTTTTTTTTTTAATCCTCACCCGAGGACATTTTTCCATTTTTTGTACAGATAGAGTGGGAGGGGGAAAGAGAGAGAGAGAAACATCGATGTGAAGGGACACATCGAGTGGCTGCCACCCGCACGACCAATCAGGGCCAGGGACAAACTGCAACCGAGGTACGTGCCCTTAGCGGGAACCGAACCCGGGTCTCTCTAGACCGCAGGCCGACACTCTAACCACTGAGCCAAACCAGCCAGGGCTTCCTTATCATCCTTTAACAAGTGTCATTGAATATTGTTTTCCTTTTAACAGTTGTGGTGCCACAACACCGATAGGATCAGATTCATCACTGGACCCCCGGACCTCTCATCCAGGACCCTAAGTGCATAACCTTTGAAGTCTTTATCTTCCTCCTGACTGATTGATCGGGGATCCATTGGTGAGTCCGACTCCTGAACCATTGCTCCGGACAAATGTCCGTGGAAGCTGGTAAGGACAGATTTTGATTCTTAAGAGTCTGTATTTATTCCGTATGCTCTGGAAGATGGGATAGAGTCCCAGATAAACACAGGCTGGGTTAGAGTCCCAAGTAAGCAGCTGTTTGTAAGAAGTTGGATTAGAGTCCTAGGCTTCTTTGTTTGAAAGGTACCTACTGGGCTGGATGTCTCTAATTCCTGGCTCTCTTTTTGATTATTTCCTGACTCCTTGCACTGGTAGGCTTTCTTCCTGTATCTCTGTGACACCTCTCAGTTTTCTCTGTTAGATCCTGGAATTTCTCAGTTGATTCAGACTCTCTTGTTGAACCCCTGCTGACTATACTCTCCACCAGCTCTGTCTACCTCCATTTTTGTTGGCATGCTTTTGCTGAGAATAATATGGAACTTCATTGGCCTCTTTGGGAAACTTCACATCTCGGGCTGGCTCCTCTAGGACCTCTCCCTTCCCATTGTTTTGGCTTTTTCTTTCTCCTCATACCACCTTCAGTCTTCCCCCCAGTCCTTTGATATGTTCCCCTCCAAACCTCTTCCTTCTGTATTCACCCCTGCCAGACCTTTTCCCTGCCCACATGTCTATAGTCACTTGAACTTTGGGCTCCCTGCCCTCCACTGGGAGCTGTCAAGGACTTAGGGACCCTCAGAAGCAACTGCTTGAAGCTGAGAAAGAAAAAGGCTATTTGGAAATAGACTGGATGTTTTGGTTAGGTGGATGGGCTTTGGAGACATCCAGACAGCTGCAAAATGACTCCTTGGTCACTCACCTAAAATTTGATCCACAGCTTCCATATCAGGGCAAGGGAATGTCTTGAAGATGGTCTCTACAAAATTGGTAAACAGATAATCTTAACTTGTCTCATTTGCCAGAAACATAATTTGCATAGAAATATAAAGTAGAGAAAAGATGAGCTAATGATTTATAAATCAGCGAGTTTGTTTTACTAACTCATAGATAAACTTTTAGAATGTAAACCATAAGATCTCTATTTGCTTCTGTCTGTATTGTGTTTGTGTGTGTGTGTGTGTGTGATAGAGTGTGATTTTTTTTTTAATCTCTGGATCGTATTACAAAATTAATTTATAAAATCCCTCGAAGGAGTTCTATTCAAATTGGCTTAGAGATAAATGAGCACTTATAAATTAAGTATTCTTAAAGCTCTCAGAAATAAAGAAACTACCCCAGTGTTTTAACTTCACATGATCTGGGATAATTTTTTGTAAATAAAGCTGATTTGAAAGTTGTTGGGAAAATAAAAAC